TACAGCCCAGATTTGTACATAACAATTTCCCACAAACAGCCATGAAGTGAATGACCATTTCTTTTATTTGGTAGATTGTTGGCCAGGAGACAAGGAGAAATTCTCTTTGAATAATACCATGGGATTTTTACCATCCAACTAAACAGGCAGAAGTTACCTCGGATTCACTCGTCATCTGAAGGATGGCACCGTAATAACAATGCAGCACTCACCCAACACTGCATTGTAGTGAACTCAAAACACCTAGACTATTAGGAGTCTAACATTAGGAGAATAAAAATAATTCTTCCATTTGATATTGAATGTTTCACTTTAGAAGGATGTCTCAAAGCGTGTAAAGTGTAGTTTAATTGAAGTGTGATGCTGCATTTTGTAGGCAAATGCAGGAGTTCAAATTCCCAACATGGGGCATGAACCCACACAAAAAAATTATTTAAAAAAAATTACATTTGAATTAAATTTTACTTAGTGAATTCTGAATCATAGGTGAGAGTAGTACAGGCTGAGCCTCACTGACACCTATTCTATGGAAACAGGGAGGGACACAGAACAGACTCAGTTAGTCAGTGCCCTGCAGCGAGAGCCATGTCCTCTTTACCTCACTTTGATTGCCAAATCCATTTTTAAATTGAAAGCCATTAAATTGAGATTATTTGCAATTAATCTCACAAATCTTAATGTCCTTTAGCAGCCTCAAATGTAGAACTTTAGCAAATTCCTTTTGAAAATCCAATTAAATTATATCTAAATTCATCTGGTAATTTAATTACCTCCTCAAAGAATTCCAGTACATTTGTGAAGCATAACCTACTGCTTCCAATACCAATTGTGTCTACTAGCATGCAAATGATTGCAGTGGCCTCGGCACTCCTTAGATGGTTATACAATTTTGTTGCTAGATGTAAATGGTCAACCAAAGTATCCAGATTATTCGGACAATAAATGATAATAATAATAATTAATAAGACCAATAACACTGCCATGTTCCATGTTGCATACGAATGGATGTTACTTTTCTAATAATAATAATCCTTCCACTTGATATAGCTCATTCCACTTCAGGAGATCATCTCAAAGTGCTTCACTGGATTACTTTAAAGTGTGTATATTTTTTATAGGCATACACAGCAGTTAATTTAAACTGACACTGAAGTGTCAGCCTAGACTGCGAGTTTAAATTCCTGATGTGGGGCTTGAACTCAGAACCTTCTGACTCATGCTTAGCGGCTGAAATGAGTGAAACACTTATCAATCCCTTCAACCACTTGAATTAAGTCTTAAAACTTTTCCAACTAAGGCAACGTGACCTGTTATAAAATCAGCAAGTAGCCTGTCTGGTGGCAAGATCAGATTCCCATTTATTTCAAGATGTACGCAATTTGTCAATTGAAATTCCACCTGGATCTATATGTAATTTGATCACATCTATATGTAACCTAAGAATAATCCTTGCATTTGATATAGCTACTTATCACTTCGTCGAGATGTCTCAAAGCGCTTCACAGGATATACTGTAAAGTGAATTGACTGTATATTTTGCAGGTGAAACCCGGCAGCCAGTTGCACACAGCAGTGTCCCACAAACAGCAGTGGATGAGTGACCAAATTATTATTTTTTTTGAAGGGATTATTACCCCCGGACAAGAAAGTGATATGCCAATCGACTAATAACCAGGTTCCTACTTACTGCCAGGTAAACAGAGGGGTGGGGGATGTCCTCCCGACCTCAAAGGTGCTTTACAAACGTAAAATTGTAACTTCAGCCTAATTTTCTTGTTCTTTTTGTGCCCGCTTGGAAATATTTCAAAGCAGAAAAACATCACAGAGTCCCTTTACAAACAGGGATTATTCTGAATTTACTTCTGTTACAGATTTATCACTGCACTATTGCTTTTTGTGCGTCTCTTCTGTATCTATGAAATGCTGTACAAAACCACACGAGCAAAAGAAAACACAGACCATATAACAACAACAAGATTTCATTTATAGAGCGCCTTTCACGTCGGGAGGACGTCCCAAGACGCTGGACAGTTGGGTCAGTACCCGAGCAGGGGGGAAATGGTCAGGGTGAGTGGAGGGAAGGGAGGGAGGGAGCGAGGAGGGGGTAGAGAGTCGAGAGGGGAGCTGAAGGCACAGTCAAAGAGAAAGGTCTTGAGACCGGCCTTGAAGGAGGAAAGGGAGGAGGCGGCGAAGGCACTGGGGGATGGAGTTCCAGAGCCTGGGGGTTGAGAGGCTGAAGGCCCGGCCACAGTTGGCAGGGTGGTTGGGGCGGGGGTTGTTGAGCAGACTGGAGCCAGAGGAACGGAGGGTACGGGCAGGTAGGTAGGGGGATAGTAGGTCGGAGAGGTAGGAGGGAGCAAGGCCGTGAATGGCCTTGTAGGTGAGGATGAGGATCTTGAATTCGATCCTCTGGGGGATGGGGAGCCAGTGGAGGCGAGCGAGGGTGGGAGTGATGTGGTCCCGAAGCCTGGTGCGGGACAGTACACGAGCTGCAGAGTTCTGAATGACCTGCAGCTTGTGGAGGGAGGTGCGGGAAGGCCGGCGAGGAGAGAGTTCCCATAGTCCAGCCTTGAGGTGATAAAGGCGTGGACCAGAGTTTCAGCAGCGTGAGGGGTGAGGTAGTGCCGTAGTCTGGCGATGTTCCGGAGGTGATGGAAGGCAGTGCCAGTTGTGGCGCGGATATGAGGAAGAAAGGACAGCTCAGGGTCGAACAGAGCACCGAGGTTCCTGACTGGCTTTGAGAGGTGGAGAGTGCAGCCTTGGATGCTGATGCTGTCAGCGCCTGAGGTGCGGAGGCGCTGACGCGAGCCAATCAGGAGGGTCTCAGTTTTGCGCACGTTGAGCTGAAGAAAGTTGTCTCTCGTCCAGGACTCGATGTCAGACAGGCGGACTGTCAGGACATCGGTGGTCGTGGAGTTGAGGGTAGAGGAGGAAAGGTAGAGTTGGGTGTCATCCGCATACATGTGGAAGTTAACCCCATGTCTGCGGATGATGTCACCAAGGGGGAGCATATAGAGGGTGAAGAGGAGGGGACCGAGGACAGAGTCCTGAGGGGCACCACACGAGACAGTGCGGGGGCTGGAGGAAAAGCCGTTTGTGGAACAAAATGAAGACGGTGGGAGAGGTACGACCTAAACCACTCAAGGACAGGGCCTTGAAGGTTGAGGTGGGAGGACAAGCAGTGGAGGAGGATAACGTGGTCGACCGTATCAAATGCTGCCGATAGGTCGAGGAGGACGAGGAGGTAGAGGGAGCCCTGGTCGCAGATGGTCAAGATGTCATTGGTGACCTTGACCAGGGCGGTTTCTGTGCTATGGGTAGCACGGAAACTCGACTGAAGGGGTTCAAATAATGAATGGGTGGAGAGGAAAGAGCGCAGCTGGGGGGCGACAACTCTTTCAAGGACCTTGGACAGGAAGGGGAGGTTGGAGATGGGCCGGTAGCTTGATAGCTGCGACGCATCAAGGGAGGGTTTTTTCAAAGTGGGAGTGATGGTGGCAGTTTTTAGGGGAATGGGAACAGAGCCAGAGGAGAGGGACAGGTTGATGATGTCTGTGATAAGTGGGGCAAGAATGTGGAGCTGAGATATAAAGAGTGGAGTGGGGATGGGGTCAAGGGAGCAGGTGGTGGGTTTCAGGGACAGGATGAGTTTGGTGACAGAGGGTGGGGAAACGGGTTTGAAGGTGTGTAGGGGAGGATGGGTAGGAGTCGGAGTGTGGGAGGGAAGGGGTGGGGGGTGGGTGGAGGTTGGAGGGGGAGTGACCACGGAGCGGATTCCCTTGATTTTGGATTCAAGGAAATCCAGCATCTCCTCACAGTGAAGGTTGGAGGAGATGACCTGCGCGGAGTGGCGGAGGGGACGGAAGAGTCAGGATGTGGTAGAGAACAGAAGCCTGGGGTAACAACATCTTAAACTACTGGGGTAGCTGTATACCATCAAATTTAAAAGATTTTTACTTTTCTATAACTCGCAAATGTCCAGATGGTAGGAGGCTATTACAGCCAGGATAATGTGCTGAAGTATAGGCTGCTGAAAAAAATCAATGTTTACAAAATGCATTTGCCAGGGTTTTACGTAGAGTAACTCATGCCTGCCTGTACCTGCCTTGTAAAGTCCCTATTGTTTCTTGGAATGATGCAAATCTCACATCAGCTTGGCTTCTTTTTGTAAGATTAAATCAATAAATCCACGACTGTCTCTATAAAAAAAAACACCCATGTAAATATGGGTAAGTGTATGGTAACATGGTCAGAGATCAATGGTGGCTAGACTGCTGATGATGCTCTTAGACAAGTATGAGCATGCACAGGCTAAAGATAAGACTTGAGACGACTGATGTGACTTGAGGAATGATGAGCCACGTTGAGCAATGAGGGGTAAGAATTACAATTATCTGAACTCAAGGGTTAGGATCAGCTACAATGGAGATTTGGACAGGCCATACATCCCTACCAGGTCCTGGAGGTTAAACTCACTATGTTAATACTGGAAAATGAAACATAGCGTGTTTAAAAATCCATGCACTAGGAATAAAGCTTAATGCTAACTCAGGGATATTTTTCTGTGGGTGCTGGGGAGCTGGACTTAATTATAGCAACAATGATAATTTATCTGTAAATCCTTAGATGCGGAGACTACCTATTTGAAAAAAAAGAGTATTCAGATAACATTTATAAAACAAAATTGCTCAAAATATGAGAGCTCTATTGACGGTTGTTCAGTATGTAGGAGTACGAGAGTTAGTGTAGGACTATTTGTTTGTTATATTTCGTGACAAACTAAGTGAACTGCAATCTGCTGACATTACTTCCTGCCCACTGGACACACATGCCATGCACAAGAAGGGGCTTTGATGTCACTTCTTACACAATTCATGTTGCAGAGCCTCTAGTAGATCGGTGCTCTAAGCGAGGCAGTGCTATAACAGGGTTACCCTGTACATCCACAGAATGGTATTATGGTCAAGGACAGGGGTGGTACTATATTTTTTTTACTGTACCTGGCACACCTTGAACAGATGTTGAGAGTCACTTTGGCCAGAGGTTCTGTAGAGTAACCACTTCGTCCTTGGCTAAACTTGCTCCCAGAAGCGCATGGCCAATGATGCCTTCCATTCTCAAGTCATCCAGATCCTCTGCAATTCAAAGAGAATTTAATGAAGGAGAATGTCTGCAAAACAAATAAAAAAAAACATACTCCCAGTCTACGTGAAGCCTGAGTGATGCTTGTTATTCGGCAGATTCTCTTCACAAAACGTTTCTTCTCAATAGCACAAATTTACAATGCAAAATCTGTTCTGTTTCAGATTTACACCAGATAACTTCAAGAAGAATAGAAGATGCTAAATGTAAGAGAGAAAGTAGGACTATTTATTTACCCAGCTGACCAAAAAGGAATTTCACATGATTACATTTATGAATGAACAATGGGAGGACACAACCTTCTGTAGAAACCCCCCACTCTCATCCGTACCACCTGCCAGAGATAAAGACTCTGTCATTTAGTCTTTCATATGAGGTGTAATTTGTGGTATTTTTTAGTTCTGCACATAACTAACTTTAATTCCGTCATAACAACATATGGAAGCTGTTCTTCCACACAATTTATTTCCAGAGTGGATTTCCATGGATCCATATGAATTCTAATAGGATTCCGGAGAAGAAATCCCGTTAAGAAATCACGCAAATTATACCCATGATTGTTGTACCTTTATTTTAGCTTTTCCACCATCTCAACTAATATAAGAGCAGCACAAAAATGCTGATGCAGAATCAAATTTGGAGGGACCAGGCGAGAGGGGAAAAAAACATACCTTTTGTATAGTTGCTGTGTTTTAATTAGCCATAAATTTCACTTGGATATCACTTAACATGCATCCAAGACTGGCCACAGCACTGCACATACAAGCAGACCATTCTTGTACCAGTTTTTCGTGACGTGTAACTGTGTAATTGAGATGGAGAAGTTTTCCTAAGCATTTAGTGCTAACTTTGTTGGATAAACTAAAAGTATTTAGTTTAACTTATTGATATAATTAAAATACTGTTTATGGAGAAACTCATCAATTGTTGCCAATTGAAGTAAATCCATTCAAGTAGCCCAATTTAATCTGTGACGTTTATGGTTAAGCCGTTAAAGAAGTTTTAAAAAAGCTTATGGGACAGTGAGAATTGCTAGGTCCAGACTATGTTATGTGATGACATTTTGAAAGCCTCGAGTAAATTAAATGATAAAGGGAGAGAAATACCAGCTAAGGCCAGAGTTCCTAGTTATTTTTACAGCAAATTCTCCAATACATCCTTAATTTTGAAAGAGTCTTTCTGTGGACTCTTTAAAGAATGGTTTCAATGTTAATGCTGAATTCAAAGAATTCTACAAGCTGTGAAATGGTAATACACTAAATATAGACCCAGATTTCTCCCCAAATGTGCTTTCTCTTTCTCTCTCATAAATGTCTCCATCAACTTTCTCCCCTGCTCACCTCTCCTGAAGGTGTTTAATTTTTTTTTCAACTTCTAAGTTTGTCTCTGATACCTCGCCTAAGTGGCCGTTAATGACGTGCAAGTCTTTTGAATAAGTGTGTTAAATGAACAGTACAGAATGTTGTTGTGCTTCCCTCTACTGGTAGATCGCATTTCAGCTGTTGTTACAGTCACATTCCAGTTAGAACTAACTTAATTGTTTATTAACGGTGGTGGGATATTGAGGTGGTGGGATATTGAGGTGGTGGGATAATAAGGAGGTAGGATGTTGAAAATTGTGGGACATTAAGTTTGTGCGTTTGAATACTGCATGAGTTCCTTATAGCACAGCAATGCTAGTGATACTTTAGGTGGCCAAATACAACAGTACACCTTTATTTGTTTACTGTGGTTATTATGTTATCAGGGACTCAAAATACCTCATATTGGATGAATGCCATCATCTTAAACACCTAAGATGGTGCGGAATTTTGGAAAACAGTCTTAAATTCAGATTTAATTTGAAAGCCGATTAGCCTCCATTCTGTGGAAAATTGGCACCAAAATTGACTGAATTTAAGATTTCCAAAACTCTGTACAATCTTAAAATTTCAAGACAACGATTTTAAGTCATGAGAAAGTTTGGGTCTCCACACAAAGACTTCATGATAGAGGCAGAAAATGCTGCCTATTACTATTTAAGTCAAGTTTTATTAATTAGAGCTTGTGCTTTGATCTCTATGCCACACAAGGCTTTTTCTCCTCGACTAAGCCCCGGCATTAATAAAACCAGGTTTCGACAGGTCTAAATAAGTACAGTCACACAAATGAACACAATTTCCTTCAGTTTGCAGGTACATCCTGACAATGGTGAGATATGATGTATGTGGCTCCATGAAGCTAGCTGTCACTCAAGAAGACTCGCTAGTGATCTCTTTCTTTTTATTGCTTTGCGTTTATGTATTTTGCTGTCATTCAGCAAGTCAGGACTGTTATATTTCATCAGTCTCTTCAGCCTGTGCACAAGCTGCCTCAGTTTTAACCCAAGCAAATAACAAAGGCCTCTCTCCTACCCCAAAGAATCGAGATGCTGAGATTCACACTTATCTCCTGCTCAATCCCTGGATCAGGGAATGAATCATTGATCCCCACTCCCTTAAAGCTGAAAGTAAGAGCCCTGGGGTATCTGCCAACACAGGAAGTGTCTGCTTGACTTAATTAGTAGTATTCTTGTCTGAGTCAGAAGGTTATGGGTTCATGTTGGGACTTTGAGCTCACACAAGTTAGATTAATTCTAACATAGTGCAGAGGTGTATGCTGCATTGTCAGAAGTGCTGTCCTTCAGTTGAGATGTTAAAATGAGGTCCTGTCTGTCTATTCAGGTGGACATGCAAGATTCCATGACACCCCATAACGATTTGAAAAGGGAAGGGAATTTCTCTTGGCATCCTACCTAATAAAATTGGTAAATCACTTTATGGGATTCATAGGACATTGCTCCATGCAATGTGGCTGCTGTGTTTGTCCTCAAAATACAGTCACCCTACATGTTACAATAAAACCTGTGAAGTGCTTCGAGACATTTTGCTGATGAGATAATGCACTATATCAAATGCAAGGGTTATATGTATAATAAGTATTATTACTACTCATCAGTCACCAGGACCCTGAGCTCAAAACAGGCAAACCGTAGAGGTTGTGTCCAATCTTTACAATTGGTGAGTTTGCCTATAAAATCCCCCACAGTGACTACACTTTGCAGTAAATCCTGCACAGTGCTCTGACATGTCCTCCTGATGTGAAATGTGTTGTATCAATTGCAAAGATTATTACTGCTGTAAATGAGGGCTGGCCAAACCAGGGTCAGTTCAGGTCAGGAGCAGGGCTCCAGTGAGATTCAGTTTACACGAGTATAGTTTGTACTGCATGTTTGGGAGCAAACTACCTCCTAAGCCTGCTGATTCGCCGTCAAATGTGTAAAAGTAACGCAGTGTTGAACGGCACACCATCCTGATTGGAAACAAAGGACCACCCACAGGGGACTTATTTTCCCCGGAAGAATCAAAAAGAAGAAAATCCACTGATAAATGAGCAGAGAACAGTTGCCAAGCTCTCATTTAACTTTCAACAGCTGTACCTGATCCTCAGGACTGGGATTAAAGTAACTGAAAAGACAGCATTTTTCTCTTCTGCAGCTGTTATTACTTGGTATTGGTTTAGCCACACAGGGCTCGTGTATCTTGAAGCCCTCTCCACATTAGAAAGGGATTGTGATCATTAGCTATCATCAGCTATTCCATTCCTGGGGCATGATGAAAAATGAGAATACAAGGATTATTATTATACTGTGGTGATTTCCACTGTAACAAACCACTTCTGATAATATACAAGGAGTAAAACACTTAACAAAATGTGGGGCATGGGTTAGACATAAAGCAATTTTAAAGGACTTGAAACAGCTAAACCCCACTGGTAAGTCTGTTTATTTTCAAGAGTTAAATGAGATCTACTTAGCTGAAATCTGTGAGGATAAATGGAGCAGTACAAAAATCAGTGGGAAAAAAACATGTAAAAGACTTAACACAACATATGGAGTGAAACGAACTGGAACAAAACAATACGTAATAGATGCCCTCCTTTCCTGTGTGTCCTTAGAGGCAGGATTGTCAAAGCAGTGCCTGAAATCATGTTCCTTTTGCTCTCTGTCAGAGATTTCTGACGATCAATCACTAAAGAGTGATTATTGGTTTCTTCCACAGTCCTGAAATGTCACCAAGCCTTAGCCTGTCTTTGCCGTTAAAATTTAAGACTGTGCAGAAAAAACTGAGGAAAATTCTAAATTCTATGTCGATGTATATTTACCTCGCTTGATGAAAATGATTTGCAGTGTTTCACAAAATCCACTTTTACAGGGCTTACAAGAAAAGTATTTGAGGGGTTAATGGCTTTGGGATGTGGACAGGCCGCTCTGATTCATCACATATGCTACAGCTCACTGAAAACTTCTGTCTCTCACAGGACAATTCGAAGGTCCTCTTTGTACACATGAAAGGTTTATTAGAGGGTAAATCCCAAAGGGCTTTAACTTTACAGGCTCTGCCTGTTACAAAAGCTGCAAAATAATTGATTCCAGAATTGCTTAGGAGTAAAAATTCAACGCTGAAGGTTATAGTTATCCTTGGAGACGCAACACAGCCCCAGGTATCTAGGGGAAGGTGAATTCAGTTTATGGACTGACAACACCGCATTAGCACCTTTGCGATGGAGACACATGGTCAAGGTCAAGGCTGTGCCTTGGTGCATTTTAAACGGTATTCAGAGCAGAAGATAAATAAGATACTGTGATTGGGGGGAGGGGGAAACGGTGGGGTGGGTATTCGGGAAGGCTGAGATCAGACGGGCCAAACCAATCATACGATCGTGTGAGATGTAGTGCAGGGCAAAATTACTGCAAACTGCGTCACTTCAACCTGCCCAACAGACGTGCACTGACAAATGCATCCTACTACATCAAAGACAATGGCTGTGCTGAAGCCTCACGAGTACCTCGGCCATTATGTTTTCCTACCAACGTAATGCGTTTTACATTAGCTACTGAAAATCCTGTTGCTGCGTTCACTTTCTCAAGTAGTTACAGCCATTGTATTACAATAAAGGCTAGCAGGTGTAGGGG